TAGAGTGCTGTGGGTAAAAATTTCCTGCTGATAATTGTTCCAGTCTGTTACTGTTTTTTACTTATATACAGCTGACTTTATCATGTCTATTAATATTTAATATGTTCCTTTCTTGATGATAGGCTACCATAGCTTTGAAAATAATCCACTTCTTACTATCTATAGAAGGCTGGTCTCGGATTATCCCCCCCCCCCATATGCAAGATAAAAATTCCAGCAATAGCAGTTCATTCATATTTCATTCATTAGTGGCTTATCGAGAATTAATTGGGGCTACATCAGTTAAAAGCACATATATTATGAGCGAGTCTTGCTGATCTATAATATTGGGATAATTTGTTCTATTTGGCGACAATTTCACACTTGACAGGATATGTAATTACCTACTGTAAATTTTTGAGTATTGTTAAGGTTTGTTTTCAACAACATTAAGTTTCAAGATCTTTTTTTATTTGTACCTTAGGCAATACTGATTGTGACATGAAGTCAAATAGACTTTTATCTGATTAAATAACTAGATTTTTGATCAAATATTCACGAATTACACTTTTAATTATTCATTTAATTTATTTTGTGTGTTTTTGTTTTCTCAGATTGTGGTCAATAAGTACATACTTTTCATAAATTTTTGTGTATATATCCAAATATTTACACAAAATATTAAAGTTACTGTTTTGCAGGTTCTTCACCTGTTCCTCGAAGAATAACTCCAACTTTAAAAGCACATGCCTTTGCTACTTTGGGAAAAATTTTACTTCAAGATGAAAAACTTGCAAAAGAAATACTTCCTATGATTGCAAACGAACTTATAATTTCAAGAGAAGGCATGATAAGGAATAACATAGTGATGATTTTGATTGAAATGTGCAAACGTTATACATGTTATGCTGATCAGTACATTCAGATACTCAGTTTATGTTTTAAAGATAAACTTTATTTGGTTCGTTGTCAAACAATAGCTCTTCTTGTAAATCTTTTCCAAGAAGACTATATCAAATGGAAAGGATCTCTGTTCGTCTGCATATTATCTGCAATTATAGATAAATACAAGACTATTCAAGAGCTTGGAAGATACTGTTTATGTCAACTTCTGCAGTCAAAAAAGAAATCGATATTTTCTGAACATTTTGTAGAAAGCATTTTTGTGCTCAATAACTATGCTCCACCAGATAATGAGGCACTGGCACAGACAGTGACAACTTTAAAGCAGTTTGCTTTAAAAGGAGATAAAAATAGTGAAACTAGACTTTTGCTTTATAAATTTATGTTAGATAATATGTTTGTTGCGGGGCGGGCACTTTTGGTTAATCAACTATGTGAAGAAATATTAAGTTCTGTAGCTGAAGCTGTTTACCCATTAATCGATACAACAGAATCGATGGTTAAGGATTGTTTTATGATCTTAAATTCAAAAGAGATTCGTTTCGATGAAAATACAATTGAAGAGATAAAAGCTATTACTGAAGATGCAGATGAACCAGAGATGAAGAGGGTGCAGCCAAAACAGAATTGCAAACTAGAAGAGTGATCATCATAGATCCTATTATTCCTGTAATAATTTCACTTAAAAACTGTGTTATGCATGCTAAATCTGAATTGATTTCTGATTTAATATTATTTTTGAGAGATCTTTTGCGAGATTACAAAACAGAAATATCTAGTATACTTGCTGCAGATAAAATGCTGGAAAGACAGGTTCAGATTGAGTTAAAAAATGAAATGATGCATATGGAAAAAGAATCTAAAGATACAAAAAAAGATGCTGAAAAGGATATGGATCAGATTCCTGGGCCACCACGAGCTGATCAGTTTTCAAAAATGGTAAAGGAGAGAACTAGTTATATAATGAACAGTGTCTTAGAGGATAGTAGGCCTGAGGTTAATGGTGAACAGCTAGATGGGTCTGTGCGTCTCATTCCAAGAATTCCTGTTCGTAAAAGTAGTTCAAGACATAGTGACACAAATAAAACAAATGTTCAGAGTAGTATGCCTTCATGCTCGAGTCAGCGTGAAATTCCAGAAATGTCAGATAATGAAATACAAGAAATGATGATGTCTAGCACACCTCGTGTTGTTTTAACAGCTCTAAAGATTCCTGAAGATATTGATCTTAGTAAGTTGTCTCTTATTGATACAATAGGTAAAGAGGAAATGGATGTGGATAGTGATAGTTCAAATTAAGTATAGAATCAAGTTCAAGCATTTTAAAATTTTAGTTACTCTTAAGTAACAAAAGTTTCCTCAGCTGCCAATGGAGAATTACTTTTAACCTTTCCATGTAATTTTTAAATATTCATTGTAAAATTTATACATGTGTATTAAAAAAATCATTCTTATGACAAAAGATTGTATTTAAGTAACATGAATTCTAAATGACCAAAATAATCACATAAAATTTTCTTGGTGCATATGTAATATTACCCGATATTATCAACATAACAGAGAAAGAATCTTGTTTTGCAATTATTTTTAAATGAGCAAATCTGTAGGTATGAGGCAGTTAGCAATCAGGTAGGCGATATATGATATCTTCTCTTTAGTAATTTGCAATTTTTTGTTTGAATACTGTACATAAGTGTTTGAGAAACAGAACTACCACATGAATTTAAAATTAGGTAAAAAAGCAGTTTTTTAATTCTTGACTTTTTTAAAATTTTATTTTAAACTTCTGAAGAAAAGGAACTTGTATCTGATCACCTATGGCATCAATAAAGTTTTAACAAAAGGTTGCTTTTTTGCTTAACTTTAGAAATAATCTGTGTTTACTGTAGACAATAAACCAATATATTTCTGTGATGTCAATTATGGGTAAATCCTGTAAAGCAAAAAAGCACCAATTAGTTCATGGCTTCTATTTTTGACTGGCTACAAAATGTTTGTTATTATTATGTGTTATATTAATATGGATCAATTTTCCTTAGAAATACTTCCATAAAGGCATCTCCCGAGACAGATATGCTTTGATACTTTCCCATAATCAAATTTAACTCCTTCACATCCAATCTGCCCCACACGGCCCTACATTGAAACAACCAGAACCGCCCGAAAACGGCCAAGATTGTAATCTGGTTTTCTTCCCTCCTCCTAAGATATGCAGTAGCAGGTTCAGTTTCCCCAAATGCATTGTGTCAGTTTACTGCAGACAGCTTGTCCTAAGAAATTTCTTATCTTTTGGTTGATCATGACATTTCGCTGTTATTCTTTTGTGGTACAGTGTGCTTTTAAGCTTTAAACAGCAATAAGAGAGCAGCTTAAAAATTTAAGGATTATATTTATTTTAAAACAATTTATTCCTTCCTATAAAAATAATGAAAATAAATAAAATCTCAGTCGTGATCATAACAAAGCCAGAAAGGCTTGTTGGTCTGACCTTCAGAATACTTTTATAAAGAACGGAGTCAAAGGCTAATGGAATCTTTGTTAGAAAGTACAAAGGATGTCATTGTAAATCTTCACACCTATTTTCTGCGTTAATGGACGGGGAGGGGAGGAAATTGCTGTGAAACTGGACAACTATTTCGGGCATTTCGGTATTTTGAGGATACAAGTTAGCAAAGGGTCTGGATTTCAGAGAGTTAAGTCCAGTATTTACAGTTGTAATGAAACTTTTCTAAGACAATCACTCATGATTAGACAATTTTGGTCTTCCGTGAAGGTTATTGTATTAGAAATTATGACTAGTAATGGTAATTGTTTTGTTGCATAATAGCCTTATCCTGTTCAACATGGGTCTTAGCATCAGAAAAATACAGAAGCATTACATATGGGTTAGCTCATAATGTTATGGATTATCTATAAAGATGAGTAGTGAATAATGTGGCAAAAAAGCAGAATTTTTCAGGGGGAGGGGGAGACTATTATTATTATTATTTCCCCCCCCCCAAGGGTTCAGATTTTAACACAGTCTACCAGTCCGCTGTTGCACTTACTCTTGCTAACCCACTTCTTTTTATCTTTATTATTAAGCATAATTTCCTTTGCACTTATGCCAAATACAAATCAACAACAAAATTGCAAAAATTTTAAAAGCAGCATGTGTGTAGAATTCTTGATGCAGTTTAAGTGATGGCATGCATTTTCATATATATTTTCAATCTTTCCTCACTTCGTCATATCAATATTCAGCTTTGTTAGGAAGACGGCTTGCAAAGCTCCTTTTTTGGCTTTTCATTATTTATGTTTTGTCTGTTAAATTTATCAATTAAATATGTTCTTCGCACTTACACTGAATGCAATTCAATTCAATAGCAAAATCACCAAATATTTTAAAACAGCCATATCTTTAGAATTTCTAATAGGCAGTCTCACGTGCTGGAAATTAAAATGTTTCATTCTATAGGATAATGCCATATGTCTTTCACTTGTTGGTTTGAGAATCAATATCAGTTTCTTAGCACTTACACCGATGCAATCAATCAATACAAAATCAGCAATATTTAACAGCCATATATTTAGAATTTAATAGCAGTTCCGTGCGGAAATTAAAATGTTTCATTCTATAGGGTGATGCCATTATGTGCTTTCACATTGTTGAGTTTGATAATCAAAAATTCATTAAAGTTTTTACAAAATATGAAATATAAAATTCAGGTTTCCAGGTGCACATGTTCTAGTGGAAGACTACATTATTCAAAATTTGATGGCTGAGGATACTGTCTCTTTTTCACAATCGAGGAAAATGCATACATGGAGATTCTTCATTATTTAATTTATTTAAACATAGTACAGGGTGATAATACTTGGTGGCAACAACTTGAAAAGTGATACAGCCATTTATAGTAGATGACACAAAATATTTCAAGACTAATAGTCCATTCAGGCTAATGTCGTTTTGGGATATATATAAAAACCTTAGAATATAACTTAAATAAATCAAAAATTAAAATCAGAATTTTCATCGTATTCAGCTTCCTTTCTGTATATTTTTTGAAATTCTTTCTTTTTTTCCAAACAGTCTTCATGTCTTTTATGACAAGTTCCTTGTGTGACTACTTTTACTAATTTTAAGTTTCCATATATAGCAAATTTGATTACATTTATTTATTCCCTGTTTTGCCACTTGTTGGACTTTCACAGTTCTTAATTTAAGTCAGTTTATGACTTCAGTTTTTGCATGGTTTGCTAGAAAGAGGATTCATTCTATATTAGCCAAAGAGTGATGTAAAGTGGTGGCCAAAATTGTATACACTTTCGGAAATTTTTATGTTTTTGAACTTTGTTTGTGAACGTTATGTTTCACAAAATGCAAACTTGTATATATCATTTTAAAGAGAATTTATTACTGAATTCAATACAAAACACAAAATTCAATTATTTGCAGTACAAAAAAAGTTAAACGATAATAGTTATCGATATATAATTAGATAGTGATGATTGCAGTTTATCATACTTAGTAGGGTACCCTTTATTTTTTATTACAGCTTCACATCGACATTTCATTGAGCTGACAAGAGTTTTAAGCTCTTCTTCGTTATCATATGGCCAGGAAACATTATAGCATCAATTAGTTCCCTTTATTTGATGAGCGCCTCATTCGGACAAGAGTTTTCAAACGTGCCACAAATTTTCGATAGGATTGAGGTCAGGACTGTTCCTGGCCATGCAACAATTTAATGCCTTTGTACGAAACCACTCTTCGATATTTTGGCTGTGTGGCAGGAGCAAAATCCTGCTGAAAATAACGAAGCATTGTTGGGAAAGAGATCTCTGATGGAAGCTAAATTTTGGTTCTGAATAGATTAATGTATTTTCTGGCATTCAGTGTCCCATCGATGACATGAAGGCGACCAATACCATCTGCTGACATTCATGACCAAATCATAACACTAACTGGGTTCTTCACAGTTTCTTGAATGCGTCAGGGATGTAGCTCTTCTCCTATCTACGTCTTACATATTTTCGCCCATCACTACCGAATAACGTATCTTAGTTTCATCACTCCATATAACTTGTGATCACTGTCATTCTGGCCAATTAATGTGTTCCTTTGCCAACTGTAGTTTTTTTTTTTTTTTTCGTTGCTGAAAATTAAATAAGGCTTTTTCGTGGAATTCTACCTCTCAGTCCAACATCTGTTAATCTTCTCCTGATTGTTCTTGAACTGACAGAGAACACTAGCATCATTCAGATCACTTCGATGGCGCTGATGACATTTTTCTATCTTGAGACATAGTCCTTTATTCTTCTGTCATCAATACATGTGGTGCACCTTTTTTGGCCTTTTCTTCTTTGTTTTTTATTGAATTGTCTCCTGATATCGTAAACAAAACTTTCGGACTCCAGATGTAGTCACTGAACCACCCCTGTCTTGCAATTTCAGCATAGGAAAGACCACTTGCGAACACAAAATATTACATCTCTTCTAGGGTCCAATCTACTCTTTATTTGATGTCATTGCTTCTTGACTAAATATTAAAAATTTTACAAAAATTCCTACTTGTAATTGCAGTTGTAATAAGAAACAGGTCCTCTTTCTACAGAACAAAGCAAAATAATGAATTGTTTCAAGTGTAAACATGATGTCAGCTTCTACTGGCAGTTACTAACATTTGATTGGTTCTCAGAACAAGAACAGTGATTGGCCAGGAAAGCTAGACCTTACAAACCACTTCATAACTGTGTTTTTTATTTATATTAAAGTACATATAACTTTTTTGTATTGCAAATATTTGAATTTTGTGTTTTTTATTGAATTCAGTAATAAATTCTCTTTAAAATGATATATACAAATTTGCATTTTATGAAACGTAACATTTTCTACAAGCATACAAAGTTCAAAAACATAAAAATTTCCAAAAGTGTCCACAATTTTGGCCACCACTGTAAATTAGTTAACTGCCTAATATAAAGCTGGATAAAAGTCTTATATCTGAATTATTAAAGGTCATCTTTCACATTCCATAAAATATACCAAAACATAAGGATGTCTGTGTACCTGATATGCTGAGTGAGATTTAGGCTTAGAGATGAGCAGGTAAATTCATTTCAGCAAAATTTTCTACTCCAAGATACCCAGAACAGTACATATAAGGCAAGGTTTCTCATTATAATATAGCATTTTCTCTTCCATATTTTGCAGTTCTGTACATCAATCTGTGCAACTCTAGAGGTGATATATGCATTAACTCAATATCCAGAATCACTGCTGAATCTTCTTTCGTCAATGAAAAGCACCTTATTGCATTGACCTGACTCCTTTCCTTGAATTCTTTGCAATACTATAGATACAATAATAAACAGGTGTTAAAGAGAAATGGGATATTATCTGCAGCAATAACTGGCCACAGTAAACTATGCATGTATAAGAATACATGCATAGTTTACTGTGGCCAGTAATGTAGCTTGTAATGGCTTCAATTGTCAAGCACTAGGCTTCTTTATGTCTGTAAGATAAAATATTATAACTGTGCATTTTTATTCACAGTTAACTACCAGTAATCCTTCAAAATAATTGCCCATGAATTGCATTATAGTTCTGAAAGCCACTCATACCTGAATGTAATGCCGGAAACAATAAAAATATTCATTACCAATATCCTAAACCCTTCCCTTCAACTTTACAACTATTCTACCTAATATGAAATCATGTTTGCAATAGCCATTTTGTTGCTTGCAGTATAAAATGAAACTGATTGTATGTCTGAAGGCTCATTGGGTTTTAAATTGTTGCAGAATTCCTGTCTGTATCATTTTGTGCTATAGTCAGAGGTGACTCTGACATTACAATTCCATTCAGTATGCATCAACTGTTTATTGAAAGCATGTAGTTTTGCAATTGGCACATGTTTTTCTATTTAACTGGGAAGCTGTAGCTTTTAAAAATAAAATTGTTCCTTACTTTTTGCATGTTGTAAAGTCATATATGTCATAAGATAGATCATAAGAGAGTCATTAACAAATACGTATCTGTATAATTCATCTGAATTATTTTCCTCCAGAGCCATTTAAAGATACTTAAGAAATATTTAAAATTTTATATGACACAGATTACATTTTTTTAATCATTCAAGTATTCTGCAAAATTTTACACTAAATAGTAAATTAAATTTTCAGAAAAATATTGTTTAAGTGCAAAAGCAATAATTCAAATTGTGGAGCTCTTTTAGGTTTTTTGTAACATCCATAATAATAATACAAAAGTAAAAAGTCAAAGCTTTCAGATTTTATATTACGCCCAAAGGAGCACTTTTTAACATTTTGTGTGTTACCTTTATTTATTAAATATCATGTTCTTTGCACTTAAATCATAAAATTCAGTTCAACAGCAATATCACAAAATGTTTGAAAAGAGCATATCTTTAGAATTTCTGATACAAGGTTTTGTGTGCTGACTGTATATCTATATATATTTTCTTCTCTACACTATTGCCATTACTTGCTTCGAAATTGTCGAGTTTGTTAATAAAAAATTCTTTAAAGTGTTACAAAATATGAAATAGATAATAAAACAAATTCCAAATTTGGTCTTCTAGATGCCCATATTCGAGTGGAGGACTATGTTATTCAAAATTTCATGTCTAGGTACCGTTGTTTTTTCACAATGTGAGAAACATACATACATTCATGCAATTTCTTCATTATTTAATTTTTTTAGATATAGTGCAGGGCTCTAATACTTGGTAGCAACAATTTGAAAAGTGAAATTCCGTTTTATAGTGGACAATGCAAAATGTCGAAACGAAATTTGCCCCTTTAGGCAAAGGTTGTTTTAGAATTTTGAAATATTTTTTTAAATGTTGCTTTTTTGTGATTTTAACATATTCAATGCACTTCATATTAATTTCATTAGGAATATTTCATACGAAATATATCTGCTGAATAAAAAAATAGTCTAAAATGTAAATATTTGAAATGAGTCAAATTCTTCATAACAAGTTTTAAAAATTTTTATTACATAATTAGAACTTTCAGAACATGATGGAATGATATATAATTAAAATAATAATTATTATTAAATAGTTAAAACGTTAAGAATTTTAAAAACTCTTTTAAATACAAAGTAAATACATAGCAAACTGAAATTTGAATTTCTTGATTTTATATATAAAGCATTCACCTAAAATAATCATGCTTTATATATAAAATCAAGAAATTCAAATTTCGCTTTTGATTAGTGCTTTATTTCATGCATCAATACCAATTATATTTTATAAAGTTACAGAAATCCAATGTCATTTAAATTAGCACGATAGATTATTCACAAATTAGTATCTGAAAAAAGATGCCAAAAGAAACTTTAACAAAGTATACAGTATTTATACATCTTCTATAGAGAAGGTATGGTTAAAATACTTTAGTATAACATACCGTATTTACGCGAATCTAATGCGCATCGTTTTTGGCCAAATGTAGTATTCAAAATTGGGGTGCGCATTAGATTCGATGTCGCATTAGCAATACGGTAAGTTGTCTGAAACTTACCGTATTTATGCGAATCTAATGCGCACCCCAATTTTGAATACTACATTTGGCCAAAAACGATACGCATTAGATTCGCGTAAATACGGTATTTAAAAAAATATATTCAATTTTTTATGTAACTTATATAAAAAGCTTTGAAAATACACAAATCAAACACAATTTTTAGGTGTACCTGCATAAAAGTAGTTTCAGAATTTGTTAGTTTAAAAACAGCAGTTACTTCCCATTAAAAAGTAAAAATTTGCATAGTAACAACTTTTTTATTAACATATGCATAAATCTAAATTAAAACACACCATATCTAAAATAAGATACATAATGAAGGAAACAAATTACTATATCTAATAAATAAATAATATATCATAAGCCATCTGCCAGAATAATAAGTTTATTTGCTAATTAAATCTGGTTATTTTCAGTTAAAAATGTAACTTATTTTTGGCATCTCCAAACGGAATAAAAGGTATTTCCTTTTGATCAGAAATATCCTAGTATAGATATGAATATATTACATATCACATATTCAAGCAATTTTCCACTTGTTAATATGTGAGAGCTTTCTGAGGATAAAATTCACACAAAAAAGAGTTTTGAGCAAACTATAGATTGAGCAAAAGTATCTCCACACAAAATATTGATATAAAATTTGATGATTTAATTTTCCTTATGTATAGTTTATTTCTTTACTCCTAAAATAAGAGAAAATTTTACATTAGCAAGATGAATCATATAGACATAAAAATATATTATATAAAGATAATATCTTATTCAGTAGGTTTGGGAAAAGTGGCTTGTTGCTTAAATATTTATTCTAGATATGTATTTCCAGTTACAAAGTTCTTTAAAATATGAAGGAAAATTTCATGAGAATAATTTTAGAACAATTTTATGAATACAAAATTTAAACTTTTATCTGACCCTCATAGAGCAAAAAGCCCAAGTACAGAAATGTTCTTTATAAATGCATAAAGTTACATACCTTTATATTGAAAAGAGATGGTACATTTATAGTTAATATTTCCTTGAATTCAGCTATAAAATTAATCTTTTGAGTCCTTGAAGTGTTAAAAACATGTTGTCGAAAAGAATCAAACTCTTTATTGAATGCATAAAGTTACATACCTCTATATAGAAAAGAAGTGGCATGTTTATAGTTAATATTTTCTTAAATTCAGCTTTAAAGTTAGTCTTTTGAGTCCTTGGGGCATTAAAAATGTGTTGTCAAACATAATCAAACAGGATGACAATGCTTGTTTCAGTTCAAATAAAAAAACATCAAGTAGTGCAGTGGGGGTAATTTTATTTACAGTAAGAAATGACATGCTACCTTTGCAGAAGAATTAATTGTATATTACAGTGGTCGCCAACCCTTAGAACTTCATGGACCCACTACATATATAATTTTATATTTGGCAGACCACTAATATGAATTTTAAAAAACTCCTTAAATCAGATTTTAAAAACAACATATTAATACGCAAAAACATTATTCAACTTTCCAATACATGTAGTTCTAATTTTCATTCGTTAATATAATTTTTGAAACATTTGGTATTCAGCAGCATGCCATTATGGAAAATCAGGATATGCCCTGATTAAAACACTATTAACATCTCACTGATACACATATTTCGTTCACTTTGAAAAATTATATGAAAAATACAAAAATCTTACCTTGTACAGAATGCTTCACATTTCCATATCACTGAAAAGGAACTTCGTGAAAAGCAAGAGCAATAAACAAAGTGTTATGCCGCCAAATTTTAATTATTGTAAACATAATAATCATCACTTACTCAGCAATGGCACCATCGATCAACAGTTACACAAAACAAAACGGAAATTTCCAGTGATGCAATTATAAACAAGAATGCAGATGGTTTTCATGAAAATCTATCAAGTTGTCCATTGACATGGAGAAAAACTGTATTACTAATAACTACAATAGTATATGTCTGTAATTCAAAAGAAAAGAGAATTCCAGTTCACAATATTATTGATAACAGCAGCATATCCATGGATGCCAACTCTCACTTTCAAATGGTGCTCAATACGTCTGCAAAAGTAGCTAAATTCAGAAGGAATTTTGCTAAAAGCAGTAGCTAAAATTAAAAAAGTATAATCCGTATTCCATAATAGGTTTTGTTACTCGTCATTTTTAAACTGAATCTTGATAAAAATATAAATAATCTCCCAATTTTTCTGTGGACCATCAAGAAGTTTTCACGGACCACCGGTTGACAACTGCTGGTATATTATAAGGCTTACTGGATTCATTAATGTGGGAATAATTGCAGTACTTTAGATTTACTTTTATTAACCATATACTATATTTTTTTAAAATCATAATGGCTTGGAAAAAAGATGGATTAAAAACGTGGCCAAAAAATTTAGCATCCTTAAGTTGTCCAGGTGACAAACAATGCTACTGATGTCTTTCTTTTTTTTAATTCATTAAGAGGAAAAGAAAATGCATTTTTATTATTTCAATAAGTGAGTGATTTTTCACAAATTCAATATACAGCAAGTTGCTTTATTGAATAAAAATAGCAAACTTATGAAAACTAAAGATAAAATTTATTATTTATCACTTACATGACGAAAGTAACAATAATCAAATGTTGTGAGTCTTTTCAACATGAAATCTGAATAACATAAACACACTGCTTGGAAGCGATCTGGTTGATAACTGATGTTGTTTTACCTCGTACAGAACCATTAGTTGTTTAAACAAAAAACACTTTTAATTCATAATTACTGCCTAAAATTAGGGCGGGCTTATTTCATTTCAGTTGAAGATTTACACAGAAAAGTGATTTAAGTCAGTAAATTTACTATAATGCTTTGTGATAAGTATTTAAAAGCAACTGAAGTTATAAATATTTCCCTACTAGTATTCTGAATTTCCATTTATCTGTTTAAATATTTTTTTTAAAGCTGCAAAACAGGCTTTTAAAGGTAGTTGAACATTTTAAACAGAAAATACAAGATGGCTATGAAACATATTAGACTTTGTAACATACCTTATATTATTTAACCAGCTATTATGATTTTTATTTTTATTACGACTCCTTCCATCTGTACTTCTCACTAGAATTCAAAACAGACTTTTTTAATATATATAAGCTAAGGGTTTTTGAATCTTAGACAGAGAACTTCTGGCACTCACATAGCACTGTTAGAATTCTGGTAGCTCTATCTAAATGTAATTATCTCAGCATTCTCTCACAGCTGATATTTTAACCACTTTAGGACACAACATGCAAGGGCATGTATGCAACTTCCTTTACCCCGAGATAACTCGGACTGACTGTATCAATCTCATCAAACCTGTATATATTCAGACATATTCAATTACTGTGCATAACCGACTATACTTGAAAATAATTTGAGGGCTGTTCTTGCACATGACAGAACATTTTAAACTAGAATAATATTCTATGACTCGTTATGGGCTCATTTTTCCTCACAATCCTGAATTATTTAAAGTTTGCAAGATACTTTAGTTATTTTACTGGTCAATAGATGATACCACTAAACTATATATATTGTTTAGGTTATCAGATACCAGTTCACATTATTTATATGTTCTTTAATGATATTTTACACTGTATATGTTCAAAATGTTGGATGATGAAAGTGTATGAATATTCTGGTAGGTCAGATACTGAGTAATATTTAGATGCAAGTGAGAGTGAATCATCTAGCTTCTACAATGAATTATAACCAGATATAGCTTCTGCTCTTCAATGATTTATGCATGGTGGCATATCTGCATTTTCAAAAAGAAGACAGTACGACTGTTCTAGACTATTTCAATCTATTTTTGCATGACAAACTTATTGATATGATAATGTGTGAAGCAAACAAGTATGCTTAATATTCCTTTAGTAATTTAGGAGTAAGCCATAATTTGGTCCTTGACGGGAAAAATATTTTTGGATTATAATTAAGCACATTTATTTCCAAATCAATTAGAAAAAAAAAAAAAAAAAAAAAAAAAAAAAAAAAAGAGGAAGAAATTTTTATCAGATAGCTAAATAACATGGTCTTTAAGCAGCTAAACTTATACACCAGTAAGATACTGAGCCAGCTTATAGCTTGGCTATTTGACTGTCTAATCTTTGCCTACTTTTTTATCAATGTTTAAATTTGAGTGTTGTGTAATTCATGAGGGCATTTCGAAAAGTAAAGATACAATGGACCGCATTTCTCAAAAAAAAAAAAAAAAAAAAAAAAAAAAAAAAAAAAAAATTATTTAGAAAATGTCAGTTACATCTTATTAGCTGGATTATTTATTATTTTTCGACATAATCACCCCCATTATCCAAACATTTGTTAAATCGGTGCACAAGCTTTTGCATCCCACAGTCATAGAAGGTTGCCACCTGTTGGAACCCAGCGCGCACACAATTTCCTGTACCCTAACTTGACAGTCACAACTTCATAAAGAGTTGTCATTGACACTTCCGGTATAATATGATGCAATTCTTTCAATTTGAGATGTCTATTCGCACGAATTGCTTCCTCTGTTCTCTGAAGAAGGGCATCAGAGATCACAGATGGCCGACCTGTTCTTTGTTCGTCATGAACATCGGTCCTACCTTTAGAGAAATGAAAATGACGACACCATTTCGTTACATTTTGTCGATTCATTAATGTTCCCTTGTGAATATCCGCTGGTCGCTGACCTTTTGCATGAAGAAAACGTATGACAGAGTGCACTTCGCATTTGGTGGGATTTTGAATTGGCACAGCCATTTTAAACACGACTTACTCCAACCAGAATCAACGTTGAAATGCTGCGAGGAGAAAGCTAACGGTTCAAGGTTAACACCTGTGTTGCCAACTTGCTCACCAAAACTTTTCTTTTCCTCTGGCATTCAGTGTATCTTTACTTTTTTCGAAATGCCTTCATACATTGGCACAAGTAGTGGTTCTTGTCTGTAGCACAAGTCATGCCTTTTGTGTTCAAGATTAAATAATTTTATGCTAATTCAAGACTTAAATATATAAAAATTTGCCATACTATTTCAGACATAGCTGTAGCTCGCTAACCTGTCTAACAGGATTGTAGGACTTAATCTGAGGTTCTAGATCAACTGCAACTTTATGAAAAAGCAGAAAAAGATAAAATACTGCATTATCAGAATGGAAAAACATCAATAAAATCACATTAAGATGAAATGATCACATCATTCCTTTTCTAGCAGCTGCAACATAAGCATTTTTTCCTTCACTCTGAAATGCACATGTATTTTTTACAGAATGCAAAATAATAGTTTAGTTAAGCAGTATCCAATAAAATACAATAAGGCAACATTGAAGATCCCATACATTTTAATTTACCTCCAATAAATTTTTACTATTTCTTTACTTCAGATGAAGAAATAAGATGAAGTTGAAAAGAGATTTAGAATCTAGAATATTAAAGAATTTTTTTTAAATGTTCAAGATTACTCCCAAAAAAATAAACGCTAGTAAAATATATATAGTCCTTAAAAATAAACAAATTTACTGAAGTTAATTTGTAATGCTTGTTGTTTCAAGACTAAAATCATAGATTACTTCTCAAAAGTTAAGCATACGACACTAAATTCAACAAAACTAGAGATTGACTTAAAATTTCAGATGAAGGTAAGCAGTTGGGTTACATTATTAGAACTAAAAATAATAAAAAAAAAAATTGCAACTATTTAGATATGTACATCATATTTTGTAAACTAAATTATAAGCCAGGCAAATATACAGACTTTAATAAAGGATGCAACCATCTTTGATTTTTGTATGAACTTTATAGTGACATTTCACACCTTTAATTAAATGGTCAGGAGCATCAGAAGGCAATAACTACTATTTCCCTAACAGAAAAATTTTCAGCTTTTTGAGAATAATTGGTAAGAAAGACGCATATAAAGGTGCATCCTATAGATTTTCAACAAAATGATTTGGGTGAAAATGACCATTCCATGCAGACACTGCCTTCTTTCTCCAGATACTCATCCATTAGGTTTGCTCTGTGTGGATCAATATTACCATTCATTAGAACAAATACTAGACCAACAGTTACAGTATTAAATTTCACAATGGGATTAAGAATTCAACTTAGCATCTCTCGGCAGTTGCAGTACCTCTTATGTAGACAGGCAGGTAAGTGCAACCACTTAAAGAAAAGCTAGTCCATAACTTCCAGCACTGAAAACATGTGGCACAATATTTTCAGTGATTTCATATACATTCTTCTTTTCTAGATGTTTATAAATTTATTAGTGGGTTCCAGTGTGCATCTTAATTCATCCACAAACAATTTGTTTTCTTATTCAGCTGCTTTTCAATTTGTATACTGCCAACTTTACTTCAAACTTGTTCTTTTGGCTTTGATGTTTCAGGTTGGTGAGAGGAGGCACGAACTTGTGATATCCTGGCCTAGTGATATTCTATCCTGGCCTAGTCATAAGGAATACATATATATATAATTTTTGCCATGAAGAGGTCTTTCATGTGTAGCCTTTTTGAGACAGTAGTCACACATACTGATGATCTAATTGTAGTAGCCTCTACTCTTATAAATAATGTAGTTTTTCATCAGCTGTGCTAATCTGCCACATAAATATCAACAGAGGACGAAATAATCCTTAGGTGACCAGGAACAGGTCTCCAGCAACTGACCTACTTGTTTGAATATTTTCTCACAGGCAAGAAATTATACAGTGGCTAATATCAAAGAATACAGTATCTTTATTGACCACTGCTTCAAACAGTAAACAGGATACCTGTGATAAGAACCCTCCAATTGTTCTTTTTTGAGCGATAATTAATCTTACTTAATAACAGAATAGTCTGTCAATAAAGTTTCAGCTAGCAGCTCATTTAAAGACATTGTACTAACCAATGCCTGGTTTTTATACTGGCAGATGTGATAAATCCTAATTGGTCACCTTATATAATATTTTCATATTTCCTTCTATGACCATGGTGAGTTTTATTCCATGGAATTGTGGCATTCATTTCAAAGCACAGAATTTACAGTGCATGCTTAATTTCTCGAAAGCAGTATAATATAAACGGCACTTGTTTTTTTCACATTGCTGCCGAAGCAAGTTAAATTTTTGCCATGAAGCATGGCTTTTCTATCACTGATCTAACAAATATGAATGCAATTATTTTTACCACTTTTATTTTATTTAAGCAAGACACATTAGAATAAAATATTCGTCCACACATGCTTTTTGAAAAGCTACACAACACATATTCCAGTCTTAGCATTAATCTTAACTATAGGTTTCTTTTAAAATATTTTATTTTTCACTTTGCATCTGGTTGAAATCGCTTAAGAAGAAAATATAATATTAAGGAATACATATTTACTTTTCTTTTAAATCCTGGATTCTTTGCAGCTCTAAATTTCTCTCAGTATTATTCCTCATCATCATAGAGATCTTGTACTGTTCGGCGATCCATTACTTCATAGGAATTCTATAAGAAAAGATTGTATATATGACTGAAATTTGGTATTAATAATTATGAAAGTATCTATTTTCACAGCAACAATGAATTTAAATATATTTTATCATATAAAATCAAATTTCTCAATAATATCTGTAGATTATCCACTACAGAGCAGAATTCATTTTTCAAATAATTTTATTTGATTTTATTTTCTTGTAAGCATTAAAATCTGTAAGAATAAAATAGGGAATATTTATGAATAAATGGTAATAAAATCAACCTCCACAAATGAAGGATCTTCATTAATTATCCTGTTTTCCTAAATATAGGAACACAACTGCAATTTGATGTTAACAAGCTGTAAAATTCTGGATGAACTATGTAATTTTTTTAAAGAAAACAGAAGATTTTCGAATAATTCTGTAAAAATTATATCATCACACAATAGCAATTTTAACTAAGATGCTTTTAATTACTCATATTATAAGCTCTCAAAGAATAATTTTCCATTTCTTATATAAAAACAATAAATGATTTAATATTGCTCTATAAATTGCTGAATGAAACATATCTTCTGCTAAAATTTAAAAAAAGAAAAAAGGGGACTGTATCAGTTTTCTACAGCAAGGAAAACAACGATGGTATGTTTCTTATTTAATATAAACTGCACATGAAGATAGAAAATTGTATTAAAAATGAATTGTATTAAACAATGCAAATTATTGACGAAGATGTGATTTGATTTGTTGATCTGTGGCATTTAATGATTATTAATATTACTTAAGCATTTCTACTTTTGGAGGAATTTTCAATTAAAGTAAAAGATTTTTTATCATCTGAAAAAATAATTTTGACATCAGTAGTTGCAAAAATTTTGAAACTTTTCAGTCTTCATTCCTATCTAGAACTTTTAAATACTAATTTTATATTCAGCTTAGAATGAATATCTCCTCAATGATTTTTGAATTACTATAAGTGAAACACCATTTTTTTTTTTTTTTTTTTTTTTAATTACTTAGCATGGTTGCCCTAACCTTATTTTCAATAAATTTTTGTAGTGTCATATTTGTTTGTAAAAAAACTGGATGTCAATTTCCTCATTTTCGTTTGGAATTCAGCAGGACTGATTTCAGTAGGCTTCATTACCTAATAGATACCAGAATTTTAACTTTGCACAGATGATTTCATTTCTTGCAGAGAGAGCAAAAAACTTATGAAACAAAAAGGGTAGCACATTAGTATGTAAAGAAGTATTCACACTATTGGCTCAAACATCACACCTGAGCATGTATGTGTCCTCAAAGCTTCCCCTTCCTTTCTTAGCTGTGACTTGTTGATTCTCACATCATCTGAACTAAGAGTTGAAAGGTTAGAACATTTAGACTAAATCCTTATAACAGTTTTTGTAATATAGCAAGATCCTGCTCCAATGAAATTCAGCTTTTGCCATTTCTGACTGCAAACTAGAATGTGAATGTTCCCTAAAGAAGCACTGTCTACAAACATTCTCAGTTTGTCCAAATTAATGCATAAACAAAGAAAACTGTATTAGCTTTTAATAAATTAAATACATCAGAATTTTTATTCTGTCACTGATTTTATTAAACAGATGTTATTTAAAGATATAACAAAGGAACAACAAATACAGTAAGACCCCGCTTAACGCTGTTTCGTTTAGCGCTGTTTCGGTTTAGCGCTCTTTTATTTCAACCCGGGGATTCCACGAAATCGCTCGCAGCATACGGGCATTCCCCGAAATATTATGCAGCGATAGGTTTCAAATACATATCCGAAAGAGTGTACTTGTATTTCTTGTTCGGTGCGGTATTGTACAGACATATTTTGAAGGGGTAAATGTGGAAGATGTCGAAGAAATAATTCAAGAAGCAGCGGCTAGTCTTTCTAATGATGAGCTAAAGGAATTAACTGAACAAGAGAAAACAAAAATGTTGACAGCAGTGATTCAGAAGAGCAAAAAGAACTTTCGATGGCGTTTGTAAAAAGGAGTTTGTCTACCATAACTGAAATAATGGATCAATTCATTGAAAATGATCCGAATTTTGACAGGAGCTCAAAAGTAAGGCGTGGTGTTAGAGATGCTCTATCCGTTTATGAAGAACTTTTAAGAGAAAGGCAAACAACATTAGATGCTTTTGTCACAAAAAGGCAGAACACTGAAAACGCGGAAGGCTAACTAAATATGACTGACTGAGAATTTTATTTGTTTTTTTTTAAGAATATTCGTTTTGTTATTTATATTTTGTTTTTATTTTTGCAAGAAATAATAATGTGGTATTAATTTGAGCTTTAAGAATAAATGTTTGGTTTTATTTTTATTAAAAAAACATACTTTTTAAATTTAATACCTAACCAATTTCCTAGCCATCTTCCCCTAACCCCAATATTTACATGTAAAGATAGCCTCGTTTAGCGCTGTTTCGCATTACGCTCTACTTTGATGGAACGTATCCCCCGCATTAAGCGGGGTCTTACTGTACATAGATTCTTGCATAACAACACCTTGAAATAAAACTGAATGAGTAATTTTGCTTTCACAGGCAAGAAAATGTTATCATACAGAATAAATGTTAATTACATAACCATTACTAACATTTGATTTCAACTTCATTATGCTTTATCAAAATTCATTTATTAAATTTTTTTCACAATTTTAATGGACCGTGACTTTCAAAATTCTAACAGACTGCAGTTCATTGGTGCCAAAGTACTGGAAAAAACTGGATGTTTTTCCATTTTAAAATTTATTCAGTTATTCTAGTAAAGATTTACAGTATCTGCTCTTTCTACACGCTAAATATGGAATGCTTAAAAGGTATGAAATAGATAATAAATTTTCAATTTCACACAATGCCTAGTGTTTTTCTGACTTAAGAAAGCATTCTCTTAATGTATATCAACAAGGCTTTTTGGTTTTCTTTACAAGCCTGTTGTTTCAAATTTCTTTATAAGATTCAAAATTGTAGGCTTCATAGGTACATTTAAGCTGGAAAACTTTTTAAATTTTCTTCTAATATTCCTTGAAAGAACCAGAATTCTAGTAATTTTAGGCCATAAACACAAAGTCAGCAATTATGAACATGTAATGGTGAATTATATAATTATTCTAAAACATCTATTTTATAATATTTTTTGTCATAAAATGTATTTTGAGCTCCTCTGATTGCAGTGATTTTTACCAGAAGGTGCATTAAGTAAAGAATCTGTAGCATTGTAGACAGTTAATGGAACGAGCAAATACACCAAAATGTCAGCTGCCTTACACTAATGATATAATGCATTGTACCTGCTAGGTGGCAGAAGACTTGTATATAACTGGAAATAAATGTACAGTAAAAGATCTCAGTGGAATTATAACACGCTATTATACAGATCAATTAGTCACTACATTTTTCTGGTGAATGCAGACTGATCAATGGAGGTCAAAAATAGCCGAAGAAAATTATTGGAAGGCTTAGATTTAAATGGAAAGAAATTCAAGCTAAACTCTTTTTGACTTTTCCAGTTTTGAAGAGAACTGAATTGTTGAATAAAAAGAAATTTATTACTACAGTCAAAAGTCGTTAATTCGGACACCCATAATTCGGAATGATCTATAATCCGGACTTCAAAACTAAAAACTTTCTGCGCATGCGCCGCGTTGACACATGCGCATAGGCGTTTACGCGTGCGCGTAAGACCTTTACGGCTGCGCATATGAGTGTGCGCAGGTGCAGAATACGTTTACGCGTGCGCGTTTATGTATAATGGACGTATAAGCTAAAATTATCTAATTATCTAATTTCAGTTAATGTTGCAGATTGCGTTGTTCCTTAATCTTCGAATTGGATCCGGCTTATTATTTTTTGCAGACTGTTAGAGCAATTTTATAAAAGTAAGCTTGAACTTTCGATTATGTCAAATAGAATTTCCGATATATATTTGTACTAATATGTAAAGGATCTAAAGCGAAAGTATGTTTTGAAATCCGAAATCTGTTTATCAATTTCATGCTGCTCGGCGGGGGGGGGGGCGGGCGCGCAATGAATTGGAAGTTGATCTGTCAGCACTATCCTTATCTTCAGGGCAGATGTTTTTATTTTATTTGGCTTATAATTCCTTACTAAATGTAGTATTTCATCTCGATGTACTCCGTCTTTGATATGATTTAAATCAAGTTCCTCGTCATTATAATTCGCTTCCGATAGCGAAGAAAGTAACAGAGGTTATTGAAAACGAAAAAATTTCGATTGACAAATTAGTCGGTATTCTCGACACAGCAATTATAGGACTTGAACAGCGGAACTTTGTAACTGAACAAGAAATTATGTCTGTTTAATAGAATTAAAGAGAAAGTATTATCACATGAAACGAAGCAAAACTTAAACAACTTACATTGAAAGAAATGTTTAATAAAGTAAACAAATAAATATTAAGCTTTTTCTTTTTGCAAATTTTGATACCCTTTAGATCATAATTGTTCTTTATTTCATAAATTACGGTTTCATATTTTTAATTTTAGAATTTCTGCATGCCATCTTACGAGATTTAAACTGATGATCTATAATCCGGAAAAATCGATAATCCGGAATCGCCGAAGTCCCAACGAGTCCGGATTAACGACTTTTAACTGTACTTGATTATTACAAATGATGGAATTTAATGGTAAAATGGAGGCTATGGATAAATATTTTATGATTCCGAGATCGAAAACCTCATAGCTATGGAACAGGAGTTAGAAACGGTAATAATTTCCACACAGAAATATCAAGAAAGAATTATAAAGTTTAAATATAAAATTCAGGAAAAAATAAGGAAAAACAGTTTGAAATTAATAATTTTAGTGAAGAAAATGTATTTGTGAAGTTGAAAACTTCTGAAGTGAATACTTAAAAATTGCTGAAATTAATGATTACAAAATATTACAGTGATCCTTGTTCTTGGCTTGAATTCTGGAATCTGTTTTGTAATTCTAGGCACCAAAACAAAAGTCTCAGCTCGATTTAGTTTTAAATGCTATCAGTGGATTA